ATGAATAAAAACCTTGAGGGATATCGCAGGATCAACTGGCCTTTTGTGGCCATGTGATTCACCAGGGGGTAAAGCTTTTGCAGCTCGAATGAATTTTCTTCCACCCAACATGATAGTCCTTTAATGCCTTTAAAAAAATCTTTCAGCTAAATTAGGTAGAAAAGGAATTAAGAATGAATCCAAGAAGTTACATTTAAAAAACAAACCCCCAGAGAACCCAAAACCAAACTGCTCCTGAAAAAAACCCACACTGACTGTTCCAGCTGCTGTTGAAAAGAAATCTGTTAAGAAACCATTACGCACAGAGCACGAGGAATAAAGTCACGGCAATTGTAGTCTTCACCCTGTAACTCACATGCTTTGTTTTCCTCAATTTGCTGCTTGTTCAGAATTTCCAGATCTCGTGATCTCGTCTTTCCCATTCAGTATTATAAGCTGAGAAAAGCAATAAGAAATAAGCAGCTGGAATTCCAGATTGAAATGATGGCGCTGTTGAAGAATGCATTATTTCCTCATAATGCCTCAGTTTTTTGTTAATGTAATGATTTCATCATCTGGATTGCTCAGTCCTTGTCATTTAGTGGGAGGTGAGGACTGTACAATATACTTGGGGTTTGTTTTTCAGTTTAATCACAACTTCAGGAAAAAATGTACTGTAGCCTTTACAGCAAGTAAGGCAAATTGTTCATAATTTAGAAATGTTGATAACCAAGCTGACACTTGCATGATTGTAGCTTTTGTATGTGTTTCAGCTGTGAAAGTATGTTAGAAGAAGCTAAGTGTGTGTGAAAGGCATTTCCATTTAAAATATATAACGACTACCATCACTGTAGGTAAAGAAGCAGAGAAAGTTGTGTCTTTTATGAATTATGGGATAGATTATGTTTGAGAATATTTTCATGGAAAGGACCTGATCCTGCAAATAACTTGCTAGAACACGGAACGCTGTCAATACAGTCCAGTGAATATTTGCCGGTGTTTTCATGGTGAGGTCTGTCTTTAATGGAGACAAGAATTAGCATTATGAATATATATAAATGAGCAAAGGGGTCCTTTCTCATTTATTTTTAAAGCAGTGTCTTGTTTGGATAGTGACAAAGTTCACTTGCTTTTGAAACAGAAGAACACTGGCCAGTGATGACAGGCTGTGTGTGTAGTCACTTACCTGTGGATGACTACATTGTGAACAGCGGTGAATGGGGAAGGAAGGGGGACAGGAATTGCCCAGACTGCTTAAAGAAAAAACTTTTCTTGGTTATTGGCCAAGCAGTAAGCATTCTGGATGCTGCAGGTTGTTGGAGTCCAGATCCTTGAAAGTATTAGACACCAAACTTGCTGAAATCAGAATTTTTTAGAAGCTTTTACTTTAATTTGTCAATGATCTTTAAGTATGTGGGAGTAATTAATAATGGGGTGCTTGAGCTTAAATAGTATTGCCTTAGGACCTAACTCCATTAGGGTCTATCTCAGCTTAGAAGGTGGCTCAGCAGTCAAGGTGATTTCTTTTCAGCAATGATTTTTTTTTTTTTTTAACCTTGCTGATTAGTGGTTACAGTGCTTTAACTAAAAATTGGGCTGCGCTCTAAAAAAACCCTATCTAGCTACAAATTTGCTCCCTTTTACAAAAGAGCTTGAGGGAGAGTTTGGCTGTGTTCAGAAAAGGATTGTGGCAACAAATTTCATGTTTCCTCAAAATGGTAGGTCTGCCTGTTGCATTTCTTGTTCCTGAAGGAGTTTGATGTTGGTATACATGTTCTACCAGTGGGTCCAGGTAGAGGATGCCACTGGGTGATCGTTTCCCCAAATAATTCTTCTGTTTGGGTCACATGTGCATCAGAAGAAGGCAGCTCCTGCAGCATTTTTAGTGGGAGAATATAGGGGAATGTTTTTAAGTGAATGATGATAATTTTCCATCACATATGCTGAAAAATACATGGGATTGTGTGTTCCTTCACTTAGTGTCTTTGGCTGCTACTGTTGCCTGTAAGTTTGCATTAGTAATTCTTTATCTCTCACCAATTCACATGACATTTATGGTGGTTTTTCTTCTCATAGGAATGCCTCAATTAAAATCTCACTAGCTGAAGTTCTTCCTTACTGCAGAGCCACACAATAATTTAGTATAAATAAGGAGTTTTTATGAGGTCTGATTGATCTGCCACACCTAATTAAATGTTCTGACTCTCATGGTGGGCAGTAGCCCAATACTCAAGAGAAGGCATGAGAAATGCAGCAAGCATGGAAGTGTTCCTTTCTTTGGCAGGTAAAGTGAATTAAAAAGGTTTGCACATACGTCTTTTGTTTAGCAGTAGGGGAAGAGGGAGACTTAAAATATTCTGTGGTTTAAAAAAAAAAGTCAATTTCAAAAAACAAACTTCAAAGAATAATTTTTTTTAAACAAAACTCAAGAGATTTGCAGGAAACTTTTACTTGCAAAGTAAATAATTAAGATGCCTATATAAACTCAGCAAGAACTGTTCAAAGAGAGTAGAAAAGTGCATAAGAGAAGGAAGACCGAGTATGTGAGGGGCGGAAGGCACAGCAACAGGCAGGGCGCAGTGGCACAGTACCTAGTGTTCTTGGGAAAATTACTCAAAATAGGGGCGTGAGAACTTGTACTGCTTTGCTGTCCTGTTTTACAGGACCGTAACTGCTAAATTAGCCAGTGGGTAACAATGGCATCACTTGTAAACTGGGGGTGCGTATGGACTGCTCAGCAGAGAGCAAGTGAAGTTCAGAATTTAAAAGTAACAACAAGGAGCAACTCCAATAAAATAAATTCATGTTTTACTAAAGACTATTGGGGAGAGGATAATGGGACGAATTGTGAAAAAGGCTCATTAAATTAAGCTAGTCATGGGCAGAAGTTAATCATAGGTATAACGTAGCTAACGAGGCAATTCACCTGGAGGCAAGTGGTTCTCTTTGCTACCACAACATACATTAAGTACTACATCCTCTGCTAGCGGAAGCCCTGAGTTCTTGGTGGTTTTCTGCTGGAGCACAGTAAAGCATTGCTTTACAAGGCCTGGGTGCAAGTCTGTCTAAAGGGAATGTAGGCTCTCAAATTTACCAGAAATGAAGTCTTGCTGCTGGACAAAACTCAAAGGAAATACTTCTGTGCTGGAAACAGGAGGGGAGATGGGTACTCTTTGCAGAAAGTGACTGGAGTCTGTAGACTTAAAGCCTGCTGCTGTGGTCATTCCAAAACCTCCAGTGATGGCTGTGTGGACTGATGTTTCCCAGTGTCCAGTTCTTTGACGCTTTCTGAGAAATCTCATGGACCCTTCTAAACTATTATTTTGCCTTGTCTTTCTTATGAGGGAAATGTTGTCCTCTGGTTTCCTGTGAGCAAGCAAGAATAAACATATGCAACTAATTTTCACTTTAGATGAGAAAGGTCTTGCTTATGTATCTTTCTTACCAGTTGAGAAAAGTGAACCTGCAGTGTCCTTTTGTATCACTATTTGGTTTATTTCACTACTTGATTTATGAATCTTTAACTGATTTATATATCTTGTGCCTTCTCATGTGTATGATGTACTGAAAGGAACTCCAGGAATAACTGTCTGTTTTCTCATAAATTTCCTAGCACAGTGCTTTGGAGCCATTTGCCGTAGGATATTGTGGATGTTAAAGCTCATATGGGTAGAAAAAGCCAAATAGTAAAATAAAAAGCTGTCTCTAAGATTGCTAAACACTAAGATGGCAGATAGCTGGGCCAGAGAGGGCACCCTGGGGAAGCATCAGTGCTTGTTTGCTGTATTACTTCTGTTTTGTCATGTAATTAGCAGCTCTCAGGGTCTAAATATGACGATAAATGATATGACACTATCTTCAGTTTGACTAGACCAGAAGTGTTCTCCTACGAAAAATGAAGACAAATCTGTGGTGTTTGTGCTTTATGCAGCACTTAATGTACTTCCTTTGTAAGGAGATCTGTGTTGCTACTCTTCATTCTGTAGCAGCTATGCCCTGCACAGGTACCCTCTTCAGGTGTGAGAAACAGAACAGGAAGCTATTTGAATTTGTCTTTAAACACAGTCCTTTGCCCAGGTAATGGGGGTGTGTGTGTGTGTCATTGATAATGCCACCAAGCACTTTGGGAGAAGGTAGAGACTGGCTAGAAGGGAAGCACTCGGTCTGCTTACAAGCCAAAGGATTTAGGTGAGTGCCTCTTCACAAGTGTTGCCTTTTTGCCCCTGAACACACCATGTGTTGGGTGCTTGTTCTAGACTGGAGGCTGAGGTTGTATGTTGGACTAAAAATGACTTCCAAGTGAGCACCAGCAGTGTCAGTTACCATCACTTAGTCTCTTGTGGGTGTTTGTAGGTTGTCATTTGGCACACTTTGAAATGACTCTTATAGCTGTGATTCTTACTGGTGCTTGAAGACGTGTTTGAATTCTTGCTCACATACTACCCGTTTGTGTCAATGACTCTAGGCTTGTAGGTTAAATATTGATGTTGGGGTTTTTGTCTTATAAATATGACCTTTGTATAGAATTTAGTTAGCCCATGGGATCATCAAGTAAAAGACATTACAATAGATTAAGAATTTGTTGGTTTCTCCTGGTAATAAAGCAAGTTAAAAAGGGGATCTTCCTGAATGTGTATTGGACCTTTTTTTAGTAATACAGGTTTGTAGTCATATTTAAATGACACCTTGTATATAAAAATGTAAGACGTTGCTGCTGCATTTTCTAATGTTTGAATGTAAAACTGGAGGGGGAAAAAAAATGCATGTGACTACTTCTAATGAGAAATGGCTTTGGCCTGAAAGTCAGGGGTGTGTATGTGTGCACGAGTTGCACCTATTACATTGGTGGTTATTTCTTTTAAATCATGTTGGGTTTGGGTGATGATATGTTGCTGATCTGCTAGGTATCTGGGTTGCTAAGTATCTGCTAAGCACTGGGAATTACTATATTCATATACCAAGGACATGCAGTGATCTCAGCAGAGCTCTGGTTCTTTGTGTCGTAGGCTGCAACTCGTCAGGATATGACTTACTGGCTTCAGGAACTTCAACAGAAGAGGTGGGAATATTGTAACAATCTTGATGCAGCAAAAAGGGACAGCCGAACTTCCCCTACACCAAGTGACTTTTCCAAAGGTCTTGTTGCCAAAGACAACCCTGGTAGGTTGACAATTTGAGTAAAACCAGATGAATGTTTCTATTCTGTGTCAGCTAATCTATGCAAGGCATAGCAGAACAGTCTTGGGAAGTTTTTTCTTACATCTTATGTCAAGTAACAATATGTAAACTTTGCATGTGTTGATGATGGTAAACTTATCGAACATCGGTGTAATTTTATGTGATTTCATCTCTCTCACAAAGTCTGATTTCTTTAAAATTTGGTGCTTTTCTTTATAAAATGAAGTAATGCTATGACTAGGCTTTATTAAGTGGTGAAGTACAGTTTAGGTTAGGTAAGTTGTCTTTCAGTGGCTGCAGTATCTTAAAAGCTTAGTGTGCTAGGTATCCTGAGATGTGAACTCCAGTTTTTAATAAGAGCAGGTGTATTTTGCATTCTGAATGACCATACTTTGTTCCCAAAAAAGTGTGGTGTGCTTGATCTGTCTGACTGCGATGGTTTCCGGCCTTTTAAGACTGGAAGACAGTTTGCACTGATACTACATAAGTGAAATTCAGTCTCGTAATACCTTTAGCCAAGCAAAATCTGGTTTTAGACTAGTGTCAGAGTTATAAAAATATATCAGTGTATTATACAAATTTGCTTTTCATTTTGAAGTAGGGTTCAGGCACTTCTGAATTGTTTTATTCCTAAATTGTTACAGAAATGGATTGCTTGCTGATGTCTGTTAGCCATAAATAAGACTGAGTAAAATCCTCTTCTGTGCCAAGTTAGATACTAATAAAGCTCTTTTGGGTTGAACAGTCTCTTGACGTGAGACATATTTCATCAACAGATGTTGTTTTTTTGATTTACATTTGATCATACTATAAACCCAGAAATGTTAAGCTGTTTTCTTCCCCACCCTTCTCTCCCCTCCCAGGGTTCAGATCCCATGCTGCAGTATTGTCCTCTAACCCAGTTTACTGCTTTCATTTGAGAGCTGTCTGCTTGTGGCTGCTTGCTCAAGCACAGCTGGCTTGTGAGGGTGTGTTTTCACAGGGGCTGAGTGTGATGTTTCAGCTACGCCAATCTAACAGCTAGTCACTGCTTAAAGAAACACACAGCTCTCTTCCCATGACCTGGCGCTAGCGTTGGTCTCACCCCTCCGTATGCTAGTGCAGGGAGTGCAACCAGCAACTGTTACTTCAGGTTAGGTTTTAGCCAGTGTAGCTTCCTGAAGTGTTTTACTCTAGGGACAGATGAGTGCCAGACTTGGCTGAAGGGAATTGTTGGGAAAGCATTTTCTGTTGGCAGCAGACTGTCTGGTTAGCAGCTTGTCAAACTGTGTGCTGTAAGAACTTACATACTGGTGTGCAGAGATCTAACAACTTTGACATGTTGGAAAGAGTAACAGGCTTTTGCTCTTTTAAACCTTTCCCTTTCCACCTTCAGCCTCTCATTCTCTGCCATGCAGTCTCCCTTTTTGGCTTTTCTGGTGTTTGTCTGACACTGTGCTGAGTTGGTTGAGTTCAAAAGTTAACTGAAAAGGAAGGTGTGGGTTTAGTCGTGTATGTGGTTTGGTTTTGTTGGGTTTTTTTCGTTCCTGCTAGATAAATGAGTGGAATATATTTACTGTGCAATGAGGTGGCTTCCAGAGCTGGTGGAAGGGAGGGAACATGGAATAGTGGCCAAGTATGGGAGGGCAGAGTGAAGGAGTAGGCAGGACTGCCCTCTTGTCAGCAGGCTGTTGGATCAGATCAACTACAATATGTAACTTGGTAGGGGTGTGTGTATGGTGGTGGTTTGTTATTGTTGTATTGTAGTTGAAACCTATTGTATTATCTTTTTCCTTTGTTATACAGTGAATATGGTCACAAGTTAGTTTTATCAAACTTACCTGGATTCTGTTCAGCTCTAACAGCCAAGGTCCAGAAGCATTTAGTTTGGCTGATAAAGTACTGAAGAAGTTTCTGTCAGCACTGTTCATAAAATAAATCAAGGCACTGTAAGTTGTACCTATATTTGAAAGGTGATACGATATACTTCTGTTTCAGATACCATTTTTCAAGGGTTTGGGAGATTAGTAGTGTCAATGATATTTGGTATATGTTACCACAAACTGTTCTCTTTCTACTTCTAATCTTTGATATGAGCTAAATAGAAGAAACAGTCTGCTGAGTATTTGGAGGGTACAGCTTGCTGAAAGATGGGCTTGCTGCTAGTGCCAAGTGATTGTCAGAACAAAGACTGAAAGGCCTCACCAGTGATAAAACAGGCTATCATGATTGCCCAGGGTTTTTCCCATCCTGCAGAGAACCATTGAGTCAGCAGCCCATCCAACGTGTTACTTTCTAATATAACTGCTGAATCTTGAGTCTTGAGGGTGTGCTTAAATTCTTTTAATCCACTTCAGTACTTTGTGAACGATACGGAGAGGAGTCTGAAAATTACATTTGAGCTTGTTTTTAACTGGCTTGGTCAGAGGGTTTGGAGAAGGCTGTAAAACACTTTATGCTTCTATATAATACTTTTGCTAATCATAGTATATCCTATATTCTGCATTTCCTATTCCCTCTGCCTGCTGGAGGAGGGGTGAGGGAGAAAGCAAGCTATCCAGGATAATGGAAGCACTGAGGTAACATACGTACTACAGATCGTACAGTACGTGTTGGACAGTGTGGTATGTTGGAGACCCAGCTAGCTCTGGATCAGCTTGGATCCTCTGGAGTTTTATTAACTCTGGCTCAGGGCTAGTGACAGTTGGTTCCTGTGGAGCCCTTTGGAGCCTGCATGAGTTTGTTGGCATGTGTGCAGTGCTGGGTGTGAGCTGCATGTCTGCACAGCCCTGTGTCCCATCTGTAGATGTGCTGAAGTGCACAAGAGTTTGGCTGAATGAATTTAGGTATGGCTGTATTCAGCTTAACTGAGCTAATAAATCCTTGCTGATCCAACAGGCCATTAGCAGCACCCATGCTAATGTTCTTGGCTCTGGGAATGCCCAGGCTGGATATGCAGAGCTGGCTCAAGTCTGTAAAGCTCTTTGACTTGCAGCAGTTTCACTTTTAGGATGAATAGCTTTTAGGATGAAGCATACCCTGAAAGCAGTGTCATAGTCTTTGTGACACTGTTCCTGATTAAGCTCAGGTCTATCAGAACTTCTGTTTTACCGGGGGTTTTTGTGGATTAATATAATCAACCCACCCTAATTTTTATAGTTTTATAGCCAGATGAATCAATATTGACTAATTGAGGTTGTAAATCACTCATGAAATAATGCTGCATGAACATCCTGAGTCCTGTTACCAGAATTATGTGGCTGCAGTGAGAGCTTGCTGAGGAAGAGGCTGCTATTCTTAAAATGCATTTGAACAGAGCATTTTATAAAGCTACGTTGCAGTTTAAAATGAAGCCCTAGTACATTACTGGCAGGCTTCGTATTATATGACTTTCTATAGCCACTGCTCTCTTACTTACTGAAAACTTTGCCTATTTTTCTTTTTTTTTGTTTTTAAAATAGATTTGAGCGTCCTAAGTCAAAATGCTTCAGCAGAGAGAGCTAGAAATATTCTAGCTGTGGAGACTTGTCCTACAGACCTGGTGGGGGAACAAGCAGCTTCCCAACCTGCACCAATCCAACCAAGTGCCATCAATTTCTCACTTAAACAATGGAGTACTGAAATCAAGTAAGTTGGGGACGTGGGAGAAAAACTTAGGAGATTGATAGTTTCTGGCAGAGACTATTTCCTACTGCAAGATGTGTGTATGTGGTAGGCAGAGCCTTTTAGAAGAAGTGGGGGTGATGGGGTGGATCAGTACATTCAACTGTATCTCTTCAAGTTAACAGTTTTTTTATTATACCTGTTTCAAAGGCATAGCTGAACATCATTGTGTAGTGTTACTGATATCTGAAAGGGAGAATCGAGTCCCATAAAGAGCTTCTAGTGATGGCTTTGCTCTCTGAACCCAAGTGGGGAGCCAGGAGTTTTATTCTCAGCCAGTACTGCTTTTTATCCTGTTGTCTCATGGAGCTGCTGATTGCTAGCGCTGTAGTAATCATAGTACGTAGTGCTTACAAAGAGAGTCAAACCAATATAAATCTTTCTTCTTCATTTTCTTCTTAAAATAAAACCACATGACACAGATTTGAAATTGATGTAGTTTGAATTCCTGAGCAAAAATGTGCCAGACACCTTTTGAACAACAGCAAAACCATGTCTTGTCCCCCTGCTCTTCACAAGTTTACGCTTTAGCAATAACTGCTGTGCGGAAAGCAGTCCTGGTATTCAGCTCTCCTGTTACAGTTTCTTTCTAATGTTTTTTTATACTTGGCTCTGCCCACATTAGCTGGATCTTCCGCTTCTACTCAGGATATTACAGTGCTGTTCCAGGGCACTGTATGAGGCATAGCTGTAGCTTTGGTTAACTAGACCACATCCCTCTTGAGCTGCACATAAAATGTTGTTTGGTTTCATCAGCAGTGCCGAGTTAGATAGGTTCCTTTTAAAACTTTCCTGTTAAGCACAGGGATCTGAGAGGTTACGAAGTGTTGGTTTGGTGGGTTTTTTTCTGGTTGTGTGTTTTTTTATTTTTTTAAGACTGCTGTGTAGACCATCATTTACATTTTAGAAAAGATGGTTTATGGCTGGATTAAGAAATCTGTAAACCCTGTTACTACATGTCCTATTTGAACTGATAGTCTTGTGGTTTCTTAGGTGAACCTGAAATGAGTGTTTCTGGCTTTTTAGAACTTTTTTTTCTTGATTTCTTCCTCTTTTTTTTTTATTCCCCCCCCCCATTTGCAGATGATATGCTTTGGGAAGCCTAGCTGGAAGGGCAGGGTCAGGGTAAGCTGCTCAATGTTGCCTGGTTGGTGTGTGTTCAGGTTTCTTTGTAACTGAGCAGAAAGGCAACAGTGGAGTTGTGGGTTTGGAAGCTCCTCTGGCTGGAGGGGAATGTTTGTGGTGGCAGTGTTCCAGCAGATACTGTAGTACGGTATTCAGGAGCTGGCCTTTCTCTATATAGCTATGATTCTAATGGCTTGCAGTCCTTGCAGACCTCTGCAAGAAAACTTCACACTGTGAAGCTCTTTGAGGCTGAATGCTGCCCTCCCCCATTCCATTCCTTTTTGAGATACTCAGCTGCAGTGAATCTGTCTGAAAATGCTCCTGGGAAAACAACATTTATTCTACCTACTAACAGAGGGGTTTTTTTGTTAATTCTGTGGGGTTTTTTATATGGAGTACTCTAGTGTTGCCCCCATGTGCTCTAAATTTGAAAGCAGGCATTCCCTCTTCAAGCTGATACCAGTAGAAAATGGTGTCTTTGTCAGGATTGCTTGTTATTCCCAAACGTCCTCTTCTGAGCTTTTGAAAATGTATTTTGCAGAGGGTTTACTGAGCCAGCAGCTAAAGTCTGAGGTCTGTGTGATGTGGACAGTTGTCCTCTACATCTGGCCATCTATCCCTTCACTGGGATAAGAGTCTGACAGCCTTGGAAGCTATTTAGCTGTGTGTAATATGCTAGAACCTTGGACAAATTTATTGACATTAGTATAGGCCTTGCAGTGATATGCATTTAAAAGCTATGGACTTCTGTCTGTTCTGAGACAGCAGGCATGAGCACTTAAGTTCCTGTATCTAGTAAAGTAAATTTGTTCTGAGGCTTCAGTATGTAGCGGTTTTCACAAGAAAGGTGAATTTTCTTCAGCGTGTGTTTGGTTAGGAACAAATGTATTTTCCTTCTAATGGCTATCCTTAGCTGCTCCAGAGGGGGATGGCAGATGTATAATCTTAATTTGGACTAATTCTGCAGGAGTATTAAAGAAGATCATTATTACATGATTCCACTCCCCTTAGCTTTTGTTCATTGAATCCTGCAATGAATTATGCCCCATTAATAAGCAGAAGTATTCAGTAATGTTGCAGGTGTCCTTCAGATGACAGCCTTTGTCATTACACAGCTTTGGTTTATGCTCAAACAATTTTGAACAGAACTCCTGTGAAAAAGTAATAAGTGGTCACATCAGGCTCATCCTTTAACATGTGTCATCTCATTTGTCACTTCTTGATTGACAGGTGATCTTGTTTTACTGGGCTGAACAGCATTCCTTGTGTGTCACACGAAGGTCTGGTTAGTTGTACTGGACCTCTGTGTAGGATCAGGATAAGATTGTTCATATTTTCATAATGGTGAAAGATACTTATTAATCTTGAAAAATTAAAATGACATAGTGTGAGTGTAAAAGCTGGAGACAAAAAAAGCTCTACTAAAATGTTAGACTATTTCAGTAAATGTATGTGCACAGCAGTACTGTTGTGGCTGATTGTTTCCCTCCCTTCTCTGCAATTTAGGGCAGGAGTGGGATCTGATCATCTCTTAGAATGTGTGTGTACTGACAGCTTGTTGGATTGTGACTAGTTTGAACTCCTATATTAGAGGGATGGATCAAAGTATTTCTAAAACTTCTGAGAGTTTTCTCTATGGTGCTGGGAGCATGTATTTAAGAACCTAATAGATGTCTTAAAGACTTATCCTTCCTCCTGAATACATCTATGATGTGTTTGACAGAGAAGCTGTTGCTGGAATAACTGCTTTTGCATCTCAAGTAGAGGTGATGTAATAATAATTGGAAAAAAGTGAAGAATATATTTTGGAATTAAGCTACATGTATATTTATAGTAAGGAAATTTGAAACAGACTTTTCCACTTTTTTAGAATCTATTTTCAAGCACTAATTGTCACATATAGGCATTTAGGCCTGTCTCTGTCTCATCTTTATGCTGTTGGCTACTTGCATCTCTTATTTATGTGGAATATAGAGTTGGAAACACACTGAATTATAGTAACCTGAAGTTATATAATGAAATAAGACTTAAACCCCCAGAAGTTATGCATCATAGAATGGTTAGGGTTGGAAGGGACCTTAAAGATCATCTAGTTCCAACCCCCATGCTCTGCTGGACTCTCCAGTAGTTCCCTGTCTTGAACTGGGGAGCCCAGAACTGGACAGAGCAGTCCAGATGTGGCCTCCCTATGGCCGAGTAGAGGGGGAGGATAACCTCCCTTGACCTTCTTTTTAATGCACCCCAGGATTTGTAGTATAATTGTCTTTGTCAAGTTTTCAGATTGATTGTTTTATTAGTTTTATTAATAACCTTTAGGATTATTTTTTGTTTGTGCTTGATTAATAATCAGTTCACCAGACGGTAAGCATTTTGTAGTGCCTAATGGCTTGAAGGTGTAATATGGGTTACTTTAAGGTTTGAAGAGTAAGAAAGGAGTGTGGCTGACTGAGTGGAAGCATTTTTGTGGGTCTCTATCTTCCACAGTCTGTGTAGAAAGTGCTGAGATACTAAATGTATTTTCAACTTTATGCTTAAAATATTAAACTGATTCATATGGGTTGATGCAGAATTCCTTCTCTAGCTGAAGAGACTTTACAATACTGAGCTACATTAATACTCGTGGATGTAAGTGTGTACTTACACATTTCTGATCGCATGATGGTTTTGAGGGAAGCTGCGTAGGGTAATCTCGCCCTGCTCGTGAATGTATTGTTCTTCTATAGAATTACCTGGCTGGAATTTGAGGTTGCCTCTGAAATGTTCTTGCAGATAACTGACAGTGTTCCACCTTAGGAAAGGAAGACTGCTAAGGAGTCTGTCATCAGCGATTCAGCTCCAACAGGTCTCTTGGTTGATCCCAAGTTTGACATTAATCCAGAATATGAAACTATAACATACATGAGTGACTGTGTGCTGTTCTGTTTAATGCTTGGCAATTATCCTAAAATTCTAAGCTGCAATAACTGATCAATAGAGAGATACTGCTTCTAAATCTTCATTTTGTTTTCTGTTGTGTTTTCCCTACTGCCATGACGGGGATAAAACTGACGATGACACAAAAGACCATAGTGGTCTCCTAGATATTAATACCCTGTTAAAGTGAAATAATTCTTCTGTGCTTGAAACATAGCACTGTTGATAGCAGGTGCTATTTAGTAGGATATGCTTTATTTTCTTTGAACTTTTTTTGGGTATTGGTTTTATCTGTGTTTTCAGCTGATTTTCAGTTTGCACTGTTCACCTGCAGTGATTGTCTTGAAAACCCCTTTGTTAACACAGTGCAAAATGGAAAAATCTGTCACTTTTTCTGCTGTCTTTTTCACAGGAACTCCATGTCCTCCTTAAGAAAAGGGAATAACGAAAACCGCAGGAGCGTATTTTATACCACTGAAGAGTGGGAATTACTGGATCCAACCCCAAAAGACTTGGAGGACTCAATGGCCTTGGAAGAGAAGAGGAAACACCTGGCAGAAGGAAGTAAAGGTAGAAGCAGGAGGAAGGAAGGGGAGTGTACACCTTATCTTCTTTAGCGTAGTGTGCTGTTATGTGTATCTGTTGGGAGTAAATGGAAGCTTATCTTTTCTTCACAAACCACATGCTGAGCTCTGTAAACTATTTTTTAAAAATTACTTCCTTGTGATGTGTTTGGAATCCCCTGCCGTTCAGATACAACAGAATAAGTATGAACCCTTGTTATCCACTGTTTTAGGGCCCCTGAGCACGTTACCATCACGTTTTGTCACGTGGTTTGCGAAGTTACAGGATAAAGGGAAATGTTGAGGTTTCTGATTACTCAGTTGAGTGTCACTCATTGAAGCAGAGCTGCCTTCAGACAACTTCAGAAAAGTATACTTCAGAAAGTATATACATGTTACTATGGCTTGCTTCTGAGATGGGGAGATAAGTAGGAATGCATATGCAGTGACAGCTCATGTATGTGTTGTAACTGGTTCTCACATTTGACCCATTTCTGGAATAACCTTGTGAACACATTCTTACAGCTCCTTAAGAACACTTTAGCTGACATCCAAGTGATTAAATCTGTTAGAAAACATCCTTATGGTTAAGAATACTCTTGTGGTTTTATAAATGGAGGTGGAACTGTAGACTGATTGCCTTCTAAAAGAACAGTGTACTGTGATACCAGTGACATTTTTTGCTCTGATCACTTCTGAGCTCTTAACTATCTGAAGTAAAATTTGCTTTGCCATAGTTAGGGGTAGCTTTTATTTGTTGTGGTGAATTGTGAAGTTCTCTTCATGTCTTACCTCACAAGTATTAATTAATGAGCCAAGTCTTTTATCTGGGAAGGGAGAAGACTTTGAGCAATATTCTTTTCCCACCACGGGAAGCGACTTGGAAAATGAGGCCTGTATAACGATATTGTATTGGGCTGACTATTGCTTAGAGTCCAATTTTAATGACCATATTTTTAAAAGGAAATCTGAATGCTTTGAAATGTCTTTTTACTAAGTGAACTGAACTAGAAGAAATTGTTTTATGCAGGACTGACTAGTTCAGCTTTTCCATTCGATTTTGGCCGCATTCCACACAAAACAAGGCGCCCGTTAAAAGACATGATTGGATCAAGCAAATGCCGGAACAGCACTGACTCTTCTCCAACCGAGTGGTATTCTGGTAACGGCAACAAACTAGTCTCTGAACTGCAAATGAAGTATCAAAGCCAGCAAGAAGAGTTGGAAAAGCTAAAGAAAGATCTTTTGAGCCAAAAGGTAATTAAGCCTTCAGGCACAAAAGCAAACAGTTGTGGCAGGTGATTGTGAGGTTACCTTTTGTGGTAACCTCTACATTAAGAGTTTGTTATAAAATAACGGTGCTACATGAACCTTTGTGTAAACAAAGTCTGGAAATAAGAAGGACCAAACTTTACATCTGTTCAAGATAAGATCTTTGAAGGAATCTTTCGGTTGCGCAGCATTAGCTTGGTGTGTATGTCTTATCTGAGGCTGGTTTTCCCAGTGTCTGCTAGGATCCTGGCAGATCATCACAGCTTCTTTCACCATTAGTACATGCAATTCCTGAGGAACTTCTCCTTTCCAGTCCTTTTTTAAATTTAGTTTTGGTTTTGTTTCTTTGAATTCTGGAGGAAAGGGTGGGGGAATTGGGACTCTTGCCCCTTTGATCACAAACAGATCTGTGGTTAGGTCTGTCACTTACAAAGCTATGTATGTAGTACTGCCCTCATACTTCTTGCTTGTATGCCCTTATAACTCAGGTTTATTAAATACCTTGGTTTTATCTAAGAGTCTCTCAAAATGAGTGGTGTATCTTTATGATTTTCCAAGTCTTTTCAGGTAACATCATTCAACATTCAAGTTCTCAGGAATCCCATAAAATCAATTCATTTTTCTGTCCTTGCATTCTTAGTTAGTGTCAGAGAACTATTTTAAAATATAAATAAATAAAATCCCAGTTTCCGTGGTAAGTATTTCAAATGCTTCTAGGGCTGGATTTACCGTTCCACAGGGCTAAGCCATTAACCAAACATGGGAAACAGCAAAGGCAATAATCCAGAGTAGTGAGAATTGTAAGCAAGCAGTATGCTGTTCCTGCTTTCTTAGTGTTTATTGTTGATCTGGAATATTTTCCTGTGTCTGCTTTTTGGTTGGGTGTTTTGGATTTTCTGGTTGTTTGTGTTTTGTTGCTTTTATTGTTTTGGGGTGCGTTTTGGTGTGTTTTTTGTTTGGTTTTTAGTAGTAGCTAATGCAAACTCTTACAGTATCTCTTCTTTGAAATTTCCCTTTGACTTACTTGCATCTAACAGCCTTCACTTCTTGAATATCTTAAGTTCTTATTCCAGCAAGGAATGAAGGAGGGTTTAACTTTCAGTGTAACAGCCTTTAAAAATCAGTGTCTCTTACATGTCTTACTTTTCAGGAAAGCAGCATGGGATTTTTTTTCCTCCTTTAATTTTTTTCTCCATTGTTTAGGGGAGAGAGCAATTAGTTATCTTTCCCTTTTCCATTCTGTAATGTCCACCTCTTAATTGTTTTGGTTCCTATTTATCTTCTTAAAACAGGACTTCATTAAAGTAAGCCTTTTTTTGCTTACAAGTAACTGCTGGGCCACAGCTGTCAACTGCTCTTCCTAAACCTGTTGTAGCCTTTCTAGGCAGGATTCTTAGCTCAGTGGAAGATACGTAAGCCATCCGTATAGGCCAGTCATTGTAAGGTGTTAGTCTGCTGGAAATCGTGTCATGTAAGGGTTTCCTTTTTTCCTTAAAGTACCACCATGAAGTCTGTTCATAAGCTGCTGATTCAGATGCCTAACTCATTACAAAGCTTTTGTTTGCTTGATGTTGGATTTCTAAGGTTTATAACTTAGGAATTTAAAACTTCATTACAGGTTTTGATTTTTTTTTTGTTTTGTTTTTTAATTTTCAGGAACTTGTGCGACTTCTGCAGCAAACAGTCCGATCTTCCCAATATGAAAAATACTTCACAAGCCATCTTTGTGAGGGGCTTCCCAAAGACAAACTAGAGCTGTTGCACCAAAAAGATGACCAGATTTTTGGTCTCAACAACCAGCTTGAAAAATTAAATCTGGAGAAAGAGAGTGTCCAGCAGGAAGAAAAGAATCTGAAATGTAAGATTGGAGAACTCAATGAGCAGCTGGGTATGTTGATGGAAACTATTCAAGCTAAAGATGAAGTGATCATGAAACTCTCTCGTCAACTCAGCGAATGTGAGGACAATACATCCTCTCAAAGTGGAGCAGTCAGTTCTTCCATGGCCACCTGTACTAATAAGGAACTACAGGAACTGGACAGACTAAAAGTAAGAGCAATGTCTGTCTGTCTTGGTGGATCTGGGAATCTCTGCTCCCTATAAAAACTACTTTCTAGTCTGCTATACTGTTTGAGGAGATCACTACAGCAGTTCTCCAAGATACTCATCAGCTGAGGCTTTCTCTGCTTGGAGTCTACACTTTCAACTGTTATGTGGCAATCTAAACAGAACTTTTGTACTTTGGGCTGGTCTGTACTTCTGTAGTACAGCGTCCCATTCTCTCAGTAATTTAGTCACTGGTGTGGAGAGGAATGACTTGAGAAGTAATCAAAGGAACAGGAGCAAGTCAGGTTAAGAGGAGATACAATCATGGAGGAAAACCAGAAAGCTTACTTTTTTTTTGTTTATTTATTTTTTTGTAAGTATCAAAAGGGAGGAAACAAAGCATGTGGAATGGCAAAAGGGAGCTCCAAGGAGAGAAAAGGAGTATAAGAACCTGTTTTACTAATGCTGCTCCAGATGTTAGTGATGCGCACTCACCCCTCCCCCTGCCACCTTCTTTAACCTACCTCAGTGAATGTGTCAGAAGTTCTTGGAGTTACTGAAGTAACCCACTTTGCCCTAAAAATGCTTTCTTGCTTTTGGATAAATGTTATATTCCAAACTGATTAACATCCCAAGGGATTTGGAATACAAGGCAGTCATTTAAAATATCTACAAATGCTCATAACTTTCTTTCCTATGTGTAAACCTGGGAAGTTTCAGAAAATAAATTGAAACTAGAAATCAATGGTCTTGGCAGAAAATAGACCAAAGCTTGTAGATGTGGTGGAATGTGGGAGTATTGTAACTGTTAGTAGGGTACCAACATTCCCTCATCCCACAGCCTCAGGTTCCGGCGGTAGTATTTGTAGCTTGGAGCTAGGTGGATTACGTAAGGAAGCTTATTGCTGAGGATTTATATTTTTGTGTGGAAGCAGACATCAAACTTGTACTTCAGATGAGGACTGGTGAGGGTAACAAAAACCCCAGGAGTGGTTGTCCCCACTTGTTGTGTTGCAGGGTATGTGCTTCTGGCTGACGTGCGGCACCATGACCTCAGTGGTGTGTTGAGCATGCGTGTTTCTGCTCTCCTCCCCGGGGATGCAGCCTCGCAGGGCTGGGCCTGCCTTAGGACAGCATGCAGTGACCTGCTGCCTTCTGCTGGGAGTGTAGCGCTGGCAGGGACAGCACCACCCTCTACACCTCTCTGCTCGTACTTTGCCTGTGTGTGACTTATCTGAAGACTAAAAATAGTATTTGGTTTGATCCTCATGCAGTCCTTTCAGTAGCTGCTATATATTCAAAGGTATACTTTCTCTGGTTGGCAATTGCTATTGTAAGATATTTTTATTTTAAAAACAGTTTGGTTTTTTTATCGACAGGACAATCTTCAGGGTTATAAGACCCAGAATAAATTTTTAAATAAAGAGATTTTGGAACTTTCTGCTCTACGAAGAAATGCAGAAGCAAGAGAGAGAGAATGGCAGGCAAAGGTCAGTCTAACGCAGCATGCTGTCATTTTGGCAATGTCTAAAGCAGTTCTCAAAAATTCCATTGCAAATCTACTCGGGGAACATAACTCTGGAAGGGAAATGGAACGACTTAAACGTATTAAATGTGATAGCTTAAAAGTAATAAAAAAATATCCACTCACACCCCACCCCCCTCCCACCCACCCCCCCCAGTCCTTGCAGACTAACCTTTCTGAATGGATTCTTGAAAGAAGTAATTGACTTTAGAATTATGTTAAGCAGTGGAACTTTTTCCTGACTTAGGAACACAGGCATGTATATTTCTGATATTGTTTCTTCAGAATTAAGGCTGTAATAATTTTCTTGAAGTATGCAAAAGACAGGATGTGTAAGGAATCTGGTATACCACTGAGTAGAGCTTTCTCCTGAACACGAAAGATGAGTATATAGTATGGTGAATGTAACTCTGGAAGCGTGTTTCTGTATAGATGAATTTGAGTGTACAGGAGTTGCGGGTAATTAATGAAGATTTCCATTGCCTGAGGCTAGAAAAATAAGCACACATCTGTAGCTAAGGCAGGATACCTGTAGTTATGGCTTAGTAGGGTTTGCTTTTGGTTTGTGTGGGTGGGGTCTTTTTAAACGATGCACACATTTGCCATGTCCTAATGCTGTATTTTTGGCATGGAGGCGTGTGTTTACAATTCCTACATGGTATTATCAAACTCGTTTCTTTAAAATTCCACTTAAGGTCTTCTTGTTCAAGCACGCATAGTATAAAGCTGTTCCTTTAAAAGCACAGAACAGTTGAGTTCTCCATCATGCAATGTAAAGATAATCGAAGCTTGCTCAGATTTTCCACGTGTAAAAATAATGTAGTAGAAAGTCTCTGGTCTGCTAGTCTGCCTTAAAAGGCAGAGACACAAGTAACTGAGGTTTCTTTCCCAAGTACTTCATATACAAAATTTTACAGTGGTGTAATAAAACGCATGTGCAATTCTTACTTTCTACACATAAGAGTTTCTTTGTTTTCTGGTGCTGGAAAAATGGGGAAGTAAAGCAGACTGGTCTTGACTTAGAGGTTTCTAAGCAAGGTAAACTAATAGAATAATATTGAACCAGATTTTAAAAGACAAAGTAAGTTTCTGAAGACTTCTTATGTCCTATATTTTTTTTCTGCAGTATACTAGCCTGGAAGCCAAACTCTGTCAGATAGAAAGTAAATACCTGATCTTGCTTCAAGAAATGAAAACTCCTGTTTGTTCTGAGGAGCAGAGTCCTGCTCGTGAGGTCATCACACAGTTACTGGAAGATGCCTTGAAAGCAGAAACTAGTGAACAACCAGAACAAGCGTTTTTCAAACCACACCTGGTCAGGTAATTTGGTTCTGTGAAAATAAATGTTTGTGTATCTTGGTCTGTGGGCCTAGTTCTAGCTCTGGAAAACAGACAGTGGGGATGTATTTGCAGGATTTGGGGTTTTCAATATATGTGTCTTACAAATAACAGTATTATCATGAAATCCTTTTTGCTGTATAAATATGTTAGTTTATTTGAGATACAGTGTAAAACTTGGACTAAAATGTTGCTGTGTAGCTGCTGAAGGTGAGCTGCTGGAGAGATGGGTTCACTTGAACTTGACCATGTTCTTCAATAAATTTTTTAGCTTGTGTAGTAATATCTATTGGAATATGGGCACAGAGTATTTTGCATATGGGGTTATTAAAATAATTATTAAGGATATAATTTAGAAAAATGCTTCAATAGTAAGTATTAAAACTCGAAAACTATGGGGAGTGGCTTGAGGAATGTTTGAAGTAACTTTAGGATGGAAAATTGAGAGTTTCAGGGCTACCGAACACTTTTTTAAATGCCTTTTTTATTTTTCCCCTCCGTTTCAGTGAATATGATATATACGGCTTTCAGACAGTCCCAGAAGATGATGATGAGGAGAAACTAGTTGCAAAATCACGGGCTTTGGACCTGAGATCGCTTTCTCTTAGTGAAAATCGAGACATCTCCACAGGGGTAAAATGGGAAAACTATCTTGCAAGCACAATGAATAGAGAGATGATGCGCTGTGTAGAACTTAAGAGCCTTATTCGATCTGGAATTCCACATGAACATCGTTCCAAGATATGGAAATGGTGTGTCAATCTCCATGTTAAAAAATTCAAGGACAGCACTGTTCCTGGGTACTTCCAAACCTTGCTTCAAAATGCTCTGGAAAAACAGAATCCTGCATCCAAACAAATTGAGTTGGATCTCTTGAGGACTTTACCGAACAACAAGCATTATTCCTCCCCCACCTCTGAAGGGATCCAGAAGCTGCGAAACGTGTTGCTGGCATTTTCGTGGAGAAATCCTGATATAGGATATTGCCAAGGGCTCAACAGGTAAGATTTTGCAAGTCTAGAGTTCCAGCTATAGAGTGAAACACTTAATGAGCCTTTCAAATCAGACGTATAGCAACATGCTTTTGGCACCCATTAGTCTCATGGGTTGTATGTTCATAAAGGATCATGTTAGTGTGTTTAAATAAACAAATAACTATCAGGTTTGTAAACCAACAAAAACACAGAAGGCTTGGATCATGAAACTTGTAACATTGGCTTGGCTAAAGAACTGGAACCGTAATCAACACACCTTAAGAAACGGGCTACTTGAGTGAGTTTTACACTGTTTTCATGTCAGTTGTAGGGGATCTGTTTGCCTTTGTGTGCAAGAACGTTAGGGTTTTGGTTTTTTTTTTTTTTAAAAAACAAGTAGCAATAAATGCTTGGAAGCTTTTTGTACTGTTAAGGCCATGAATTTCAGCATGTCCCTCAGGATGTCTTCAGTCAGAATTGCAGTAATCTATTCAAGGATGATTCTTATGTTACAAGGCAAGGAAAAATGGAAGTTATTGCAGTTGGTGTTTGCTGAAATGGTTTTGGTACTTTGAGATCTGTAGTAAAAGAAGCTGTTATTTGAAGCAGGTATGTTAGCCTAACACCCCCTTTTGTCCCCATGATTAACACTATAGATGTTAATTTGTGCACTAATTTATGGACTAGAATAGAGTAAAAGACTTCTGAACTAGAGCAGCTCTATCATTGGAGACTGTGCTGAAGTAGTAGTAGAATAGAGGCAGTGAATAACGTAGTAGAGTTGGTGGTGGTAGCAGTAGTAGAGGTAGTAATAGGTGTTCTTTTTCTGAGTATTCATTGCTAGTGGTTACGCTCTGTAGGTCAGTCATAGGTTTTTAGTATTAATGTTGTCGCTGCCATGTCACAAGACATGTCTGAAGAACATGGCTGTTGCAATTTTGGAGCAGCCTGTCTCTGACTGGAAGGTGTTAGAAATGATTCTGCTAAGTTCGAAATTTCTGTGTCACATTACTTTCTCCTGGAACACTTTTGGTTTAATTTTTGGTTTTACTGTAAATAAATCTGCACTTGGATATACTTGCAGAAGTCAAAAGCAACTTACATATGTGTTCCTTGCTTTGGTTCTTCCAAGATTTGAAAATGTCATCACCTTATTGAACTGTGTAACTTCAGCAGCAGTTCATGTTGTTACAGCTCCTCCTGCATACAGGGATACAACAAGCTTACTTGGAGGAATATATTTGGAGGTTACCTTTTGGTATTCCAACAACTACCAGAAACTTGAAGTTATTCTCAGATTTAGTTTTTTTATTCATAATACTCATTGGAAATGGAAAACCCAGGAATGCTGCTGGGGATGTTTTTTGGAGGTCTTTGTGGTTTTGGGGTGGGGTTTTTGTGTGTGTGTGTGGAGGGTGGTTGTTGTTGATTGTTTGTGGTGGATTTTTTTTTTTAAGAAATTCTCAGAACAAGTTTAGTCTTTGAAAAATTTTAGGGCTTTTTCTTTTCCTTAAGACAGTGGCAGATAAAGACAGAAGTTACTTATGTTTATATTAATGGATGTAAAGTAAACATGCTAGAAAGCATTTCTCTGCATGTACAGTGATTTTGTGTGAAATGCAATATATTCTTTCTCCTCTTCAACAAGGAAAGACAAAAATCTGAGAACTGGAGTAGTATATTTAGGATTTGGAAGCTTCCAAGTATTTTGCCTTAGTTCCTGGTACATCAGTTTTGCCGATTTGTGCATCCTGTTTAATATATTTGCCTCTGAGCAAAACCAGAGGCTTTAATGTACTTGTTTTTAATACATTTTATGATGCTGTAATAATATTTTTCTCCAAATAAACCGTATTTTTCAGATTGGTAGCAATTGCACTTCTGTACTTGGAACAGGAAGATGCTTTCTGGTGTCTAGTAACCATAGTGGAAGTTTTCATGCCTCGTGATTATTATACTAAGACACTGCTAGGATCTCAGGTATGTGCTCTGCCAAAATAAAGCCTGGTCCTGTAAACTGCAGCCAGTCAAAAACTTTCCTCTAAAGCTGTATGATAGGTCCTTTTTGGGGAATGTGTTGAGTCAAGAGAGGTGAGTTCTGGGTACCAGGGCCCTTGTTTGGACAAGGACTCAGAGTATAACCCTGAAATAACTGTTCAGTGACCTGCTTGGAGCTCCAGTCCCTAACCCCTCTCCTGATTTTTAGCTTCACAACACTGACTGAGCTGATTTATCATCTCTTCCCTGAAAAGTGGGAGGAGGAGGTGGTATGGGACGAATTATGGGGCCCTCTGGGAGAGTGAGG